TATACAGTGTGTGTGTGTGTGTGTGTGTTGGTAAAAAAGGAAGGCCATGACCGTGATGTAAATAGATGAGTAATCTTAGCAGGAACTATGAAGAGGAGATGCCACACATGAGTGGCGTTACACAGCCTGGCTCATGTTACCTGACCCCGAATGCATTTGTGTGTGTGTGTGTGGGACAGGCAGAAAAACACGTGTGCATTTTGTAGTGCTGAGTTCTCTGTGCTGTCAGCATTCACAAGTGCAAAGAGAGTGAGGAAGAGAGTGAGAGAAAGACAACAGCTGCCCCTCATTCTTGTCCAGGGCCCATGGGAGCTCTCTCAACTCACATCCAGCAGTGACAGGTGTTCAGAGGGCCTTGGACTGCCAGCCTGAAACACACACACACTCGCACACAACCAAATGATATCGGCGTGCAGAACTGGGCCAGGAGGGCTGTAGATTGGCTGCACTCCTGGAGGATGTTGTAAATGCAGTCTCCTCAGATAACTACCTTAGTTCTCTGTCCATCTCCAGACAGTCGGGTAAAAAGGAAGCTTTAGAGCGTTTAGGAAGTGTTTCTTCAAACGTTTACTGGCTTGGGGTTACAGGTGTTAAAATGGGTGGCTGTCTGATTATCTTAGTGTGAGTGTGTGTGTTGTACAGTTACAGAGGTCTGGGAGATTCATCAACTCTGGTCTTTGGCCAACAGCACAGAAACACTTAAACAGACTCTTGGGGTTTCTTAAAGCATTTTAGCTTACTGGCAAAAGTGTACTGCATACTCAGTGAATAAACTCATATGTTTAATGCCCTTATGGTGCTTTTCCCCCCCAAAAAAAGAATTACTAGTTAAAATGGTCTTCCTTATGCTGTTCCGAGTAAGCATCATACATCAGATTGCTGGTGCTAAATAATTTTACTGTTCTGAAATTTAATTCAAAAGCCAGTGAGAAGATATTTCATGTTTAAATACAGTACAGTATGATTTTGGACCAATTAAATGTATCTGTGAACAGAGTTATTTAGGACTGTCTTTGCTCCCATTGCTTCTCATCTAGGGGAAACTTTTTAATTTAATTAAATATAATGTACTCCATCTTTCAAAGGTTTGGGGACTATAAGATTTTTCAATGCTTTTAAATTAATTCTTAGTCTTACAAGGCATTTATTTGATGAAAAACACAGTAATAACAGCAATATTGTGAGATATTATTAGAATTTAAAATGACTATTTTCTATTTAATTTACAGTTTCCATCAGCCATTTTTCCATTCTTCAGAGTCACATGATTCCTCAGAAATCATTCTAATGTGCTGATTTGGTGAAATCTTTTGTAACAATGTGAATGTCTTTGCTGTCAATTTTGATCAATTTAATGCATCCATGCTTATAGGAAATACATTGGCACAGGAAGAAAAAATGCACCCAGACTGCTGCGATTAGTGAAAGAAAAGATTAAAGATTAAATAACGGTTAGCACTTGTTGCTAGTTAGAACATGGTAAAAGAAGCTGTTGGTTTTGCTTTAAAAAATTTAACACTGTGACACCCAGTCAGCTGGGTATCTGTTTTGTTTTAAAGATCTAAATACCATAATACAGCACTGTCTGAGATCCCTGGGAATGAGGGGTGAGCTTTTTATAACACACACTGGCTGGTTTTACCCATAGGCACTGCTCCCATTTACAGTTTTAGAGATCCAGGCTTTCTATAGCCAACACCTGCTGGAGTGACGGTCAGGGAGAGAGAAAGAGAGAGAGGGATAGCTGGACACTGCGGTGCCTTTAGGTCTGGGGAAGAGATGGGGGGTGAAGTGTCATCCCTCCCTCTCAGCGCACCATGTCCCGAGGTGAACAGCTCGACTCGGTGGTCTCATGCTCACGATTGTCTGCCCCCAGCTCACGGGACAGGAAGAGCCGACTGTCCTATGGGAGAAAGTCTGGCAGCAATAGGTACAGTAGTACTAACCATGTTACATATCAGGAACTTTGACGGGAAGCCATATGGTTGTTGCTCGTTTGTTCGTTTTTAAACATTTATGGCACAAGTTTTTGGTCTGTGCTGTGCGGTGTATTGAGGCTATTGTGTCCCTCCAGATTTGATCATTATTCTCTGTCCACAGTGTGACATTTTATATTTAGGTGTTTAGTTCCTTTTTTTGGAAGTTGTCTGTTCTGCTTTGAAAATGAGATGTTTCTCTCTCGGGAGGTAAGTTTAAACTCATTTTATGGGTTGTTGAGCTTCTCTCAGTTTCAAAACTTTTCTGGAGTGTTGTCATTCTCTGCTTCCTGTCTTTTACTGTTGGAAGTCATATAGTATTATTGCATTAGAACTTCTAAAGTCCTGCTAAAGAAGATATATATATATATATATATATATATATGACATTTAATCTAAGATGAAGATAAGATAAGATCCTTATCTTTTTATGTTTTTAGATTGAGCAGGTAGGCTAATTTTGAGATTTCTAATCTTGAGATTAGAAACTGTAGTGAGTGGATTTGCAATCCTCACTAAACCTTATTGTTTAGATTCATTTTAAAATGTTCAGAATAGTGACCTTGACAGAGTTGTTCTGTTTGTGATTTCTCACTGTGAAGTGTGTCTAGATATCCCATGGCAACAAATTTATTCTTGAGATTGTTAGACTCACCACGGTCATGCTGCTAGGCTGAACGCTTTTAGGAGTGAGGGAAAAAGAAAGTAAGTTGTAGAGCAAAGAGTGTTTTTTTTTTATCCGTCCTGTCCCAGCTGAGTTCTTCTTTGAGCTGGAGGAGAAACGATGGGCCTCATTAATCATGTGGACATGATCACGTTCTCATGAGAGAGTGAATGAGAGAGTGAAAGACAGTGTTTGTGTCTCACTGGAGCTGTCTTTGGTTACAATGCTTGTTAACCTGCTGTCTTGCCTCCCTGTTTCACTGTCTTCCTCTCGTTCTCTCAGTCTGGTGAAGTCATTGTTGCTCCTCATTGTTTCACTTGAGGGAGTCTGTCATTTTAAGCCAGCTCCTTGTCACGCACTCGCCGTAGAAACTTGTTAAAGTGAAGCGTTCATGGTGGTCATAATGATCTCCTGAGGATTCACACCCACCTTCTCACTCACTTTGGGCAACTTTTGAAAGAATTTTATTAAAATTTGAAAAATAAATCAAATTTGTCACTCTGTATAACCAACTTTTGGAATTCAGAAGGATGCCTAACTAGATGTGGCATTACACAATCACAACCAATCAGAACATTTTTGATATTTAATTATGTGGAACAGGTTTTTGGATCAAAGAGATCACTGTGGTTGGGGTTATCTAGCATGGAACGCCAAAGAAACATAAATCAAATGACTGAACACTTGTTACATCATGGTTTCCAGTTGGTTCATGATCTTTAGCTGCTTCAAGATGGTGTAGATGGTTGATCAGCTTGATTTCCACTTGTTAGACCTGGTTTTGAAATTGTAAACCATCTTAGTCAGGCTGATTGGATGTGATAGACCACTTTGGACTAGCAACAAATCATACTGCTGACCTTCAGCTAAAATGAGCTGTTGTTTTCCAACATGGCAGATGGAAATACCACCTAGATGCTGTTTAGATGGAGGTTTTTCCACTGTAACTGTTGATCCATTGCGAACTGGACATCCCCTCTTTCTCATTCTCTCTCATCCTTTGACTGTAATCAACTTCCAGCCGTTCACAGACACTCTCATTCCATCACGCAGCGCTCACAAACCTGCTACACGCCAAAGCTTGTCAAGGCACATTTCCCACTTAGACACAGCATATCCAAACATAGACAAACACAAGCGCACACCCAGAACGAACAAAGCCAGTGTCAATCAGCTGTCAGTGGCTGGAGCGAAAGAGATTTGAGACCTGTATAGCCAACTGTTCTGAGTTTTGTGCTTTGGCCTAGGGTGTTTGTGCTTTGTTTTATGTGTGTGTGTTGTAAGTACAAGTCCTACTGGCAGGGCCTCCATCCATCATATATTCGATCTGACAAAATGCACTCATTCATCCCAGCTTCAGGCAAAGGTTTTCTCTGCCCTTACAGAGATCAGCTCAGAAATTTCTAGTACTTTCACCTAAACAACCATAAAACATGTTTGCATGAAGTTTATTACAGTAATGCATCAAGTCTTACAGAAAAGCGAATCCAGTCTCTGGCTTTACATGAACTCAGTTACATCTATGGTACTAATGACCAAACATCTTCCCAAAACACATACAATATACTGTATTTACTTTTCATTCACGCTGAATTTAAGGAAAATGGACTAGGCTTATTTTGATGTCAGCAAATCTAATGCCTTATACATTACAGTATGTATTTTCACAGTAATTGTAGGTATACTGCATGTGCTTATATCTTTATGGTTGCACCTTTAAAACATACACAGTGCATGTATTTCATGATATAAGCTATGTAAGTTATAATATATTTTTTGGGTTGCACTTTATTTTACAGTACATGTACTTATGTGTACTTAACTTACAGTGTACCTACCTTCTGGTAATATAAGGTAGCTATATGGGGTAGGGTTGGGTTTAGGGGTAGGTTCAGGGTTAGTACCTAGTTATTACCTAGTAATTGTAATAACTATAATAAGTTCATAGTGTGTACATTAGGAGCAGGACTGTAAAATAAAGTTCTACCATTTTTTTTGGTTCTAATATATCATTGGATGAACCACTTTTGAAGCTGATATACTGTACTCTGTCCTATAACCAGACTTAATTTTATATTGAATTCTACATTATTGCACTAGCAATTTTTATTATATATACACTACCATACAAGATTTTTTACACAGCCATACCAAAGATCGATCTCTTATGCTCACTGAGACTGCAATTATTTGGCAAAATACAGTAAAAACATTGTAATGTAATTGTAAATTGTAATTTATTACTATGATGGCAAAGCTGAATGTTCAGTATATAAAGAGAAAAGGAATGTAAATTCTTATAATTATCAAGGTTGAAAACAGTTGTGCTGCTTGATGTTTTGTGAAAAGCATGATACTTTTTTCAGGATTCTTTGATAAATAGAAGGTTTTGAACTGTGTATAATTATGTATTTTTTTGCACAAATAATAAACTGTATAATCAGTGGCCACAGTATATACAATTTTCATGTTAAATATTTCTGGAAGAGGTGTGTGTTTGTGTATCTGTGAGAGAGAGAGAGAGAGAGAGAGAGAGAGAGAGTGTGTGTGTGTGTGTGTGTGTGTGTGTGTGTGAATACGTAAATTTCGGACCTACAGGAATATCTTCTCTGTCGTGTGGGATTTATTTCTTTGAGTGATATGTTGTTGTGGAGGTCAATATAAACCGTTCAGTGATTCACCACTATTGAGATTAAAGCCCTCACTGCATTCACACACGTACTCGAAGGTACAGGTATATGGAGATTGTGATTTGGCTTTGAATTAGTTCAGATCTACAACATACAACAGCAACTAGAACAGTAGGACGGTTGGAGGAAATGCACATACTTGTGGTTTGAGACGAGTGACATGTCATGTGAATCTGAGTAGGCGCACACAGAGGCCATGCTGTTTGTGTTTGCACGTGTGCGCCCAACCCTCGCCAAGTGCCGCCCTTATTGCATTAGAGAGAAAGATGCCACAGTTTGAAAAAAAATTCAATCCAATCATTAACCTCATTCCTCTCTCTCTCCCTCTTCTCTTTTTCTCTCCTGTTTCTCTCTCGTTCTCTCCCACTACCTCTTTACAGTCTCACCGCACGATATACAAGTCCACCAGGTCACAGTGGAATAGCAGCCCCTCAGAAGAAAAACACAAGGTAGAGTCTTCAACTGTATCTGCCTGCTCTCGCTCTGTTCTGACACCTGAAACTCTCCACAGACCTTCAGGCTAGAGACCGGGAAAGCCGATCTACTGATGTTCAAAGCTGTAGTAACAGATCTGGGTGATGGAAGTGGTGTATGATAGAAATGCTTGCTGATGGTGTCCGTTCTTCAACTCTAGTCTGGCTTTTTCACATTTCAGAAATCTTTCTGGAGCTTTTCAGAGGGTTTTGAGCTGAATAGCTTGGTTGATTCGTGATGAACGGATACAGAAAGTGCCGGATGAACCCTAGCTCTTGAATGCGGTTTATTTCTGACCGGAGGTTTTTTGCCATTTCAAGCTCCGGCAGCAGTTGTTTGGCCCTGAAAGCATTTGCTTCATCTCAGAGCTGATGGGAAGCTTTGTGCTGGCGAAGCATTTCAAGCAGCCCCTGGCCAAACTATGTGAGATATGTGATGGACACTATGTGTGATATAGTGCTTACTCCACTGACAGCCTTATGGGTAGGGTTCGACTGATGGCATTATTTTCTCAAAGACAACATGTCTGCAGGGAGAGGAACAGGAATGAAAACGTCGCAGTTTTAATCAAAGTATTTGGGATCTGAGATCTTCTCTCAAAGCACTGATATACAAATGTTAGGAGTAGACACTCATTCGGTCCTGAATCAGCTTTTTCATGCTGGAGTTTGGTCTCATCCTAAGTTCAGATGTGCTGTGTACTTCATTATATAGAAGTTTAAATACAGCATAAGGATGCAGAGAGCCGTTCACACCTAATGTTATCAGTGGGCTGCACAACTGGGCATAGCTTTTTTTGAAAATCTGATCAGAAATCAGATTTATTGGTGGTTGAAAGTGAGAACGCCTGGTTAGAAGCACCAGAAAATAGATAAATCTTATATCAAATATCTCCAAAGAGAAAACTATAAAAATGGATGAATCATTCATGGCATTTTTAGGCTTTTTTTCTCCCTGATGATATCACTATACACTACCATTCAAAAGTTGGGATCAATTAAGAAACTAATACTTTTCATCAGCAAGAAGGCATTAAATTGATTGAAAGGGAGAGTGAAGACATTTGTAATGTTACAAAAGTTTTCTATTTCAAATAAATGCTGCTCTTTTTATTCATACAAGAATCTTGTTTCCACAAAAAAACAAAAAACAAAGATGCAACAGAACTGTTTTCAACATTGATAATAAGAAATGTTTCTTGTGCATATTAGAATTATCTGAAGGATCATGTGACATGAAGACTGGAGTAATGGCTGTTTGTGTGTGTGTGTGTGTGTGTTTGATCAAATAAATGCAGCCTTGGTGAGCATTAGAGAGTTCTTTCAAAAACTTTAATACATCTCACTGGCCAGTTGTCAAAAAATATTCCCAAATCTTGTCTGCTGTGGGTTCACAAATGAACGATCGTCAATTAATGAATTTCAGACACATTTTAATTATAGTTAATTAATATTTAATATGTTCCAGTGATAGGCTGGCGTGTTCTATTCAATTGTATTATTCATGAATAAATCAGTATTTTGAGTACATGTTAAAATTAGTGTTAATTTAATTTCAGCAATGTTATGTATTTATTTGTTCTTACACTGAAGTGACATTTGATATGAGGCTTCAGAGGTGACTAATACACACATACATTCACACAAACAAAAATACACACTCCTGTTTGTTTCTTCAGAGAGATGCATATGAAACTCTATGTCTGAGGCCTAATTGATCGGTTCAACACAAGATTATTGTGCAGTAATCTGGGTTAGAGAGAAAATTGTAACAACCTATAATCTTGTTTCTTAAAGGAAGGAAAGCAGGATAGATAATAATGCATGAATTAGCTGTCCTCTAGAATCCAAAACTTTCAGCTATATTCAGTGTACTTCAATTGGTAAGATAGTATTAAGATTCACAGATGACAGAAGCAGTCTTATTTGATCCTTAAACATCCTGCTCTAAATTTTAATTCATAATTTGAAAGATTTTATCTTCCATAAGGCCTTTTTATGTATGCGAGACACAGATTGGATAAGATGTGACATGTTATTAAAATTCAGTGATTATTCAGAAATTATAAACAAGAGCAAATCCAGAGATCTGTCTTCCAGCTGACCACCTCAGGTTTCAGGTACTGACTTTTCAGTAACAGCCTTTAAAGCAGAATATGTCATGCCTTTAACATTAGTGTCATCAAACTGTAAAAAAAAAAAAAAAAAAAAAACTTGGACATTTCAAGTTTACTGCCTCCGTGCTATTGGCCAAATCAAACTGATAGTCCCGCCCCCAACTCATGTCATTGGTTGAGCCAGTGTGTTGCTGTGTCGGCTTGGTCGGGATGCTCAAAAAGAGCAATGCTTTGAAAGTGTCATGGATTTTTCAGGCAAATCAACCTATAAATATCATACTTGTCTGAATATAAGTCGGGATACAATAAAGAAAAATGACACACCTCAGCTTTAATTCAGGTCTATTTTAGCCACGTTCTCTGTCTTCGGATGCCTGGTAAGCACTAAATTTATCCGCTACAGGCATATTTGTGTTTGTGAATGTATACATGATACATATTTATGCAAATCACAGTCTAAGGTACATTTCAAGACCAAATTAGAAAACCAAATGTCTTATAAATGCTGATGTCAGATGTTGTCTGCGTCTTTGAACCAGGCCAAACTGAATCTGCTCACTTTTGATGTGTTTTGGAGGAAAATCTGCAGAGTTCTGCAGTTACGTGCAGCTGAGAGTAACACAGTCTTACTGATATAAAAACATGATGAAATTAGGCTGAATATTTAATAAACAAACACACATAGCCCAGTGAGAATCTGCGGCACTCTCTACAGACGCCGGTTCTGTGTGGGCCTGCTAAAACTAAAACGTCTAAAACTCTTCCATTTAGACCCTGTCCTCAATTCAGACATTGAAGTCCGTCCCAATTTTCACCCAAATAACCTGTATGAGGAATAGCATCAGATATGCTTGCATATTATCATAGCTGGCGATGGTGGCCTGCACAACAGGTTAATGGGGAAAAGCAGAAGTGCCTGATGGGAAATGAGAGAGTGATGAAGCAGGGTCATTAGAAGCTTGATGAGACATGCACCTGAACTGCCTGAATCATCATTCCCAAATCCATCATTTCTAAGAAAGCTATTTGCTCTGAATCTGTGTAATAAGATTTTTCAAAAGATTTGATTAGTGATGAGAATTTCAAATGATGATGGGAATTTCAGATGGTTTTTAAAATGAAACTATAATTAGGTCTTTATTAGGTCATCAGTTTGGTTTGTTAAAATCAATAGTCTGTTGCTGTAATCAGATTGGAGTAAAGTGAAACATCTCTGTTTGGTGCAAAATTGAATCAACTATAAGAAACAGTGTCGGTGTCAAAGAATGTTAAATTCCTGCTGTTTTGTTCCTCCACGACATGTTTATGAGCCGTTGTTAGGTTGATGTGTCACAGGGTCGTGTTTCCCAATTAAAAACTGGCACTCGTGAGTCATTAACAAGCTTTGTGCACAAGTAAATCATCAATAATATGAATACAGCACAAGACGATGCAAAGAAACACACACACACACACACACACACACACCATGCTAGTTTTATTGCAGATTTTAGAGCAATTAAGAGATGTTTATTGTGTTGACATATTAAAAAATGAGCTGTTTTAGAAGACACTGTATATTAGTCAAATTATGATGTTAAATGCTATTAATTTATTGGCGTGTATGTTTCATTGTCAAACAAGTGAGTGTGTTTTCTGTCAAAAGGCATTACCAGATCTCTAATTTATACAGCTAAACATATGCCTACCCTCCATTTGAAGTAAATATTCACAATATTTAATGTCTTTACAGCTGTCGAAGAATACATTCTTATGCAAATGAATCATTAAATATATAAATAAATACAATTACACATTGGTCCTTTCTGTAAGGTCAAATGTGTCCACAGAAGAGAAGAGATAGATAGATAGATAGATAGATAGATAGATAGATAGATAGATTGATTGATTGATTGCAGTTCATACAGTTCATATTTAATAATGTCCTTTGATTAAAACACAACAAATAAGTGTGTTTTATGTGTTACAGGTTACCAGGTCCCTCCAGAGTCCCCGCTGCAGGCAGCGGCAGTAGTAAAGCCCACGGATCCTCAAACCTGAACAGACGAAGCCAGAGCTTCAACAGTATTGACAAGAGCAAACCACTTCAGTATGCTAGCGGCAACGACAGAGGTGAGCAATATACAGAATCTTAATATTAAAATCAAGATTTCTGCACGATACTCAAATGAAACAGCAACAGCTATATCCTGTTATCCACTAGATGGTGCCACTATCACAGGAACAATAGCGCTGTGGCACAGGGCAAGATGCTCTGAGGTGGTTCCCTCATGCATTTATTATTACATTTTCATAATGAAATACAGTAAATGTGTGGAAAAACACAATTTCCTGGGAAATTAAAGTATAATGTTGCACTGTGGTTCCTCTCTGGTGTGTTATTCACATCTGAAAAGGTGATCTGCCCTCAGCATTCACTGTCCTCCTCCTATATATTTGGAGATGACGTTCATGTTATATTTCTGCTTCTTCCACATAACCAGCCTATTCAGAGTTCACTTTAGATTTCATCTTCCTGTCAAAGCCGAACCATCATTCAAAGCTGACTTCATAAAACCACATGGCTATTTAGCCACCAGTGTGTAAATCTCCACAGGCTAGTTGGCTACTTCATAAATCTGTGCTAGACCTGATGGAGTGTGTTGATTGAAGCCGGGTTGGGAGTTCAAAGACGTGTGACCCATATTTCGCCCCTGGTTCACCCCTCCCAGCAAGAATCTGTGAACAAAACGCAACCGTTTTCCCTCACAGACTGTTTGTTTTGGCTGTACTGCCCAGTTAGATTTATACCGGACTTTACTGGTCCTCGTTCGTTGTTAGTACAGATGCTGGTGTTCCCAGACACTGGTTACGGGACAGGGCGAGACGGTACACACAAAGCCAGACAGAGGGTCTCACATGGCAGATGGGGCTTTGATGAATCAGAGAGTCCTAATAGGCGACGTCTCTCTTGAAACCCATTCCTGCCCTTTTCCATCGAGCCTGACATTACTCAAAACCTTGATTTATAGGGCTACTGCGCTAATACTTCCACAGATGAGAAAAGCAAACTCCCATCTGCCTTTTTTCCCTCATCTTCCTTTTTCCTCGGTCCAAAAAGTCTGCCGCACTGTGAAGGAACTATGGGAGGGGCTGGTAGGGAGAGAACAGAGGTCTGTTCCAAAACTTAGTGAGCTGCCTACCTAGCATTTTAAGGCATCGTAGGTGTACAGTTGACACAAAAGCTGTTCCATGCAGTAGGCAGAAAATTATGCTGCCTTGTGAGATACAGTGTTTTGGCCTATTTCTAAAGGTGCAGTCATATTAGTGAAATTTTGCAGGCAAAACAGGTCTACTGTCAATATTGTAGCAATGCATGAAGCAAAGCTCACATAGCAGTAGATTTCAATCATCTTTCTGGTCAACATGGTGAATCTGTTTGACCCACTGCCAAATCTGCATGAGGAAATCCATCGTCCTCATTTAAAATTGAAATTGTGTGGTTTTCTACAAAAATGACTGAATTTTGCCTGCGAAAAAAAAAACAAAACAATAAATGTGACCGCACATAAAGGCAGCATCACATGTGTCCTTCATAAGGGAAACTATTCTGAAATGCATTCAGAAATGGTCTGGTACATATATGAATGGGAGAAATCATGACTTTTGTTGCACAGTTAAAAGAGACAGTTAAACCTGTTAAAGAGGCATTCTAGCATTTAAAATGTAGGAATGACTGTAGGAATAGAAGTCCCACCATACAGTTAAAAGAGCAAATCACATGTTTGGTTTTACACCACAAAACAAACTGGATCATCCTGAAAAAAAGTAATTTGAGCTTAAAAAAGCACAATTTTTATGATACAATTCTCGTAGAATTTTAATCCTGATTTGAAATGTGCTGTTAAAGCATCATTTCTAACAACAGTTACATAGATTTCAGGCTGTCCCTGTTTAAATAGATCAGGGATTTACATATTTTTTGTTAGCCAAATTCCTTTGACCTAAAATATTTGTGAAGACACATTCAAATGTTCACGGTTCTTTGATGTTGGTTATTGTATCAACTTTGTTAGCTTAGCAACATGCTAATATCTACATTGTGAGTTGAATGTAATCTGTGCTTTATTTTGCCATAAAATGTTCAAAATTGGTCACTTATGGGGTTTCATGACAGTTAGGATGCTGCCTTTGTAGCCCGCTAGGCAGCTCACTAGGTTTTGGAACAGAGTTAGCATGTAGTCTTTCATTTTTATGGCAGGCTTGAATACAAATTTCATAATCCTGAGTTTGACCTTTAACTGATTTAATTCTTAACCTCAAATCTGTCAGCACCCTGTGTTACCATCACCTACGTATTTCTGCACAAAGCCTCTCTGTGGACGCAAATCTCACACTGTTTTTAAGCCCTATGCCAAGGTAGTGGGCACAAACACTTGCATTTTAAGAAGTCTTGTATAACAAAGCTAATTTCACCATTCACACTGGCTGCAGGAGTGAATCAGCATGTTTGCTATAGCATTAGCTCAGCTTTCAAAAGTACTGTGTCCAATTCCTGGATTACTTTGAAGGAAATCAGTGTTTTTAGTACATTCATTGAAGTTTTGGTATAGCTTCATACAGTAGCACCTGTGACTAAGATGGGAGAGATATATCAGAACTGGGCAGAAGAGATAACAAAGAGAGCCAGAGGCAAAGAAAATGGCTAATACAATCCATTCTGGATTAGACAGTAGTAAATTAAGATGGAAAATCTTCAATGCCATGTTTTCTGTCATCACACCTGTTAATGTGTTTGTTTTGAAATTTGTGTGGCATCCTATCAGACTTCCCAGAACAAAGTGGCGTTTCGCTTTCAACACAGTAATTGGTGTGGAGAAAAGGGTAGCTATGGTAACCACGTTTCGATGGTCTGGTGTGTGTATGTGTGTGAGAGAGGCTGTTATTTAAGCTGCTGTTATCTCCAAAGACAGGGTTAATTTAGCTGACACATGCACTGAAGCCCGATCCACACAGCGCTCATTCGCAGTCCAATCACTGTTCACTCTACACAATTTTCAATGGAACCAAATGAAGTCCCATCTCGGCCTTTCTTCCTTTGTGCTTAGAATTTTTCAGCTTGACTCTTTGATACATCTGGGTGCAAATCAAAGTTAGGGACAGCCTGAGTTGCTGTAAGATTAAGTAGATTTACTTGCATTTTGTTGTGTTGTACAGCAGCAGAAGCATTGGTGTATAACTGATCTTTTTAAATTCACAGGAACTCATTAATCTATCTATCTATATTCATTTTCATATATATTTTCATTTTCTTTCCTTCTGACATTATTTTATGACAGATTTATGGCTCATAAAATATATATTGTGATTAAACATTTTATTTTTTTATTTTCTATTTTTTGGAATTAATTCTCAGTTGGGATTCTCATTTTTATTACTGCAGTATACCAATTTTTAGTATTATAGTAATTAGAATTTGAGCAGAAATTATTTTTGTCGTCAATATAATGTCACATTGCAAATTTGTTTATTTTTATTATTTTATTTAAATTAAAAATTCCACCCTCAAACTGTAAAACATTCTGAGCATTAGCATTCCCCTTACAAAGAAGTACAGTGGAGACAGTGCAATGGTAAACTGGTGGTATTATATGGTAGTAACATCATGGTATTTTGGTATATACCATGTTACTGTATGATTACTGTATTCATATGCATTGCATTGACAAGGTATTCAAAAGAATAGCATACATAATTTTTTGTCAATAATGTATAATCCACTGAGATCTAGTCAAGGTAATCCGATTTATATACACTAAAATAGTAAAACATTTTGAGCCTGGGCCCTGAGCTTAGCAATAGGAAGTTGTTGTCGTCATCCTCATCATCATCATCACCAGACAAGATGTATTTTAAAGGGTGTTACATTTCTGCATTGTCATGCTTGATATATGTATATTTTATGTTTCCCCCACATTTGCATAATCTATTTATATTGGATTAAGTATGTTTATATATGTCATTCTGTGAGCCATGTTGACTCTGTTCAAAACATCACTGCATTTACAAAGAACAAGACGGTATCTGGCAACAACAAAGTATTCGAAATCCCACAAAATCAATTTAGTATCCAATTTTCTGCCTGAGTGCATTGCAGCATTGCTTGGGATTTCAGTATGCGGTGGGATTGCAGAGTAAAGATTTGGACGGAGCACTATCTGTTCCTCATGTGTTTGTGGGACGCTTTGCCTTCCCACAATCTCTTTCCACTTATGCTAATATTTGATTATTGTTGTAGTCATATTTTTTTCCTCCTTGCCAAAGACAAACTTTGTATTGCTTCTAGGGTGTAGTTACTGTATATCAGACTAACAGATGTGTCCGCTGTGTGGTCTGTTTCTCTGATACAGAGTCGGTGAAGGGCATTCCTCTGCCAGGCAGCATGAACGGCAGTGGCTCGGTGCCTTACAGCACCAGCGGGCAGCAGCTGGCCTCTGCTATCCCCTCTCCCACTGCTGGAAAGACCTGGCGCAGCAAGTCCATGAACATGAAGCACAGTGCCACCTCGTCTATGCTGGCCACCAAGCCGCCCAGTCCAACCGCTTCCCCAACCCCTCCCTCATCGTCCGATCGCCTCCGTCCCCCAATCACAGACTCCTCCAAATCAGCCCCCGGCAACCAGCGCTCCATGTTGGAGAAATTCCGGCTCATCAACCCTCGATCCGCATCCAGAACCTCACCCTCAGTGGCCGAAATGGCTCTCCAGGAGGAGGACGATTTGTCAGAGTTTGGAGATGAGGGGACCTGCAGTCCCACACCACCCTGCGGGATCTCAAAACAGCAGGGGAAGACCCCCGCATCCTCCTTTGCACCCCCAAACAAGACCAACAACTGCAAGAACCACAACAATAAGTCCTTGCCACAACCCAAAGACAACGAGGACAAGAACAAGACCAAGAGCAAAGCAAGCACACCACCCAAAGAGGAGCCAGTAATAGTTGAGCCCTCTAAGAAAGGCTCCAAGATTGGCAGCCTTATCCCCAAAGGAAGCAAAACGTCCACAGCCTCTGTGAAGAAAGAAAGTGCAACCCCCGCCTCTAGCGGCATCCCCAAGCCTGGTCTGAAGGCTCCAACAGCAACTGCCAAGCCTGCAGCTAGCCAACCCAGTGTACCTGCAACTAGTGTACCTGCTACAGGTGGTGAGAAAACCAAACTTAGTAAAGGTGGTCAGTCTATATATATGCAGAGATCTTTGGCAGGATTGGAGAATCGGAAGACCAGCATGGTGTCATCAACAAGTACCTCAGCGCTTTCTGGATCCGCCACATCTGGGCTGGGTGGTGGAGGAGCTCTAGGAGGTAATGGGGCAGTACAACTTCCCCAGCAGCAACAACACAACCATCCCAACACGGCAACCGTCGCCCCCTTCATGTATCGGTGAGCAATTCCTAAACACAAATGCACATGATTGTTGCATTTTCTGATCTCTTGCTTTGCATATTGCGAATGATGGTTGTTGAAGTTGTGGGTAGTAGCTTGATGATTACAGATCTGGATCTGTCATGTTCAGTCACAGAAAAGTACATAAGATCCCACTTCTCCCTAGTAAAAAGGAATGTATTTAAAATACAGTTCAAATCTATTAGCATATTTATTGACGTATCGCTCGAGACTTACTAGTTATATTTAACTTTATTTGGAGTACTACTTGTGCACAATGCACATTTCTTAATATTAAGCCTAAAATGTGTTTTAATGTCACTATTGATGAGGACTGTATGATCTTTGAATAATATCGGTCTTTAAATGCAAGATATTTAAAGTGTATATATATAAAATCAATGTGAAAAATAGTTTTGTGGAAACCATTATGCTTTTTTTCAGGATTCCTGTTATGAATAGTAAGTTCAAAATGACAGTGTTTATTTGAAATAGATTTTTCATTACTGAACTACAATTTTGAAAATTAGATTTTACATTAAGGTAACGGGCACAAATTTATCACAGTGCACCGATTTATCAGATTATTCAGTACTTTTCTGCACTGAATAAAATGTAATATACATTAAGGCCACATGTCCACCGAAGCGTATTTAGCAAGCTGAAAACACCAGGCGTTCTGCTGAAAACGCCTAGCTATGAGCGCTTGAGAGCGCTTCTGAGGCGCAGCATTTTTTTCAGTTGAGATGCTTTGGCTGTTATGATACAGAATATCTGCTGAACTGTAACTATCTGATTTTGCAGATAGTTTATTTATGAATATAAAAATGTTGACACAATATAAAGAACTTGCTCTGGCCCTTGTTTTAAATGATTTTGTTCTGTTGTTGTGCTTCTTGTTGTCATCTGTTGCTGTTGTACAATTAGGATGTGGTGGTTGGTCGGTGTGGAATTTGTCCTGCCCCTTGCAAGATATTTAAAGTGTACCTGAAGTATATTTGCAATAGTTACACTTTAGCGCAATCTTTAGTTTAATCTTTAGTCTTTTAGTTTATATCTTTAGTTGGACTTCAGCATTACTTACACACAATTAAAGTGCATTAAGTACAAAATTAGTTGTTCCAATTTCGCAGACTTTGAGTATACCAGTTTAGTATGCTAAAAGTACAGTTACAGGGTATTTTTATTAAGTACATAAATATGTAAATGTATTTGTAGTACACTTAGCATGGAATAAATGTATTTCAAATATATTTTAGTACTTTTATTTTTCACTAGAGCTGTCACTTACATTTACCATTGCGCCCTAGCAAGATAATTAATGGCAGGTGGGCTTTCCTTTTGATCAGTGTGCTTTGTCCCTTTGGATAAAATTATTTTAGAACGTTGTTGGACAGAACAGTTCATTTGGACAGAACTGGTCATTTTTCAGACTTACTATGTCCTCATCATAGACCCAGCTGACTTTTAGTCCTGGCAGGGCTACTGGGGTCCATATAGCCAATGATGCTTAGAGACATAAAAGGGCAAGACTCAGACAAACAAGACAGATCTGGGTTCCTGGGTTCTATTCTGGGATGTGAAATCATTATCATTATCCATGAGACAGCAGGACCATGTCTCTGTAATTACCCTCAATAGACAGGCAAAGATGAAACTCTCATCCCCAGGAGGTCCAGAATAATTACCTCACCTTTTACTTATTCTGCACACCACTAACAAGACAGATACTTTAAAGAATCTCTGATGCCAAATGTAACGGGTGTAGCCAATTCGTAATCATTAATCATGAAGACACACCATAAACAATACAAAAAATATAATTTCTTTTAATATAATATCTGCATGAAAGATCTACCAAAATCTGAATGTTTTAGAGGTGGCCTGGAGGGAACTGCACATGCTACGATATGTTGCACAGTTTTTGTTCTGTTGTTGTGCTTCTTGTTGTCATCTGTTGCTGTTGTACAATTAGGATGTGGTGGTTGGTCGGTGTGGAATTTGTCCTGCCCCTCCTCCACTGTGATTGGACAGCTGACTAAGTGACAGTGATGAGCGCTGCGTTTTACCCAAAGTTAAATATTCTTCAACTTTCGGCGCTGATAAACTGCGAGAAACGCGCCATTCCCATTGAAAAAATATGCTAGCCTCTTTTAAAAAAACGCTTTGGTTGACACATGGCCTAAAATATAAATATTTTGAATGTCCACAGTTAATTCTAGGTTTTTCTTATCCTAGTATGTATACTGCTGCCTTAGGTACTGTATAAGGCAGTCTAATTTTGCATCTTACTTTTTGAGCCTTTATGTTGGGAGTGAAGATGCCTAAAATGTTGTCTAGGTGGGCAGCTCACGTGGGTTTGGAAGAGAGCTTTTGTATTTGCCTCCACTGGCATGGAGAACAGTAGGTTGACCTCCCGTCCACTGCCTCTCCTCACATCAACACTCTCAGCTTCAGTGATGTTGCTTAAAAACGATATTAAAAAGATTAAACAATGTGTCTGCTGCCAGTAAAATCTCTGTGTGTGTCATGAGTTGACCTTCTGTCGAATCCATCTGTTTTGTTTTATGCAATTTCATCACTTAATTTGTTCATTCAGCTCACCAAGCCCTGAAGTTACCTGACAGTTTAAGCCATCGTCCTTTCTGCATCATTTGTTTATTTGCATTTGCAGGCAAGAGTTTGTGTGAATTATGTGTATGTGTGTGTGTTGTCACAGGTAATGCAGCATCTCAATGGCATGAGTGTGGAACACATGGTGAAACTAACAGTGTGACATGCCACTGAAATATTTGGCTGGTGAATTGTTTGTGTGTGACTGTGTGTGTGAGAGGGAATGTTTATCTGGGCGAGTGCAGGTGTCCTGGGATGGCTTTGTTGTAGGTGTGGTTGTTATGCATATACAATCAGAGTTTTTCCCAGTCTATTTCAGCTAAGTCTGAACAGTATTGTGTTTGAATGTGTTTGTCAGGTTTTTGTATATTTTTGGGGGCCAGGTGTCCCCACAATGACAAACCTGTTGTCAAACCTAAAAAACCCTATAAGGAAAACAGCTACATGAAGTCACTAATCTGTGATTTATTCCTTAGAGAAAAATCATAGTGTTAGATTATAGTAGTAGGGCCTACAGTTAGTCTATACTAAGCATTCCTTTTAAAATGATACTATTTTAATTTTAATAAATTATTATTATTATGATTATTATTATAAATATATGTAATAAACAATTTTATATAATAATAATAATAATAATAATATTTTATAATTTAAATTACTCATGGCCATATGGTCCCAGGGTTATTAGTAGTGGCAGGGTTATTATTGTTAACTTGAACCTGACAATAAAACCACTGAAAAACAAACAAATAAACAAGTAAGTAAATAAATAAATAAAACTGAAATAAAATTAAATATTTAAAAATAACAACTAATTTTATTTCAGCTATATATTTTTTTTCATTTTTTCTTAGTTTAAATTGAAGTGCTAAAATAAAACTAAACCTAAAATTACCCTCAATAGACAGGCAAAGATGAAACTCTCATCCCCAGGAGGTCCAGAATAATTACCTCACCTTTTACTTATTCTGCACACCACTAACAAGACAGATACTTTAAAGAATCTCTGATGCCAAATGTAACGGGTGTAGCCAATTCGTAATCATTAATCATGAAGACACACCATAAACAATACAAAAAATATAATTTCTTTTAATATAATATCTGCATGAAAGATCTACCAAAATCTGAATGTTTTAGAGGTGGCCTGGAGGGAACTGCACATGCTACGATATGTTGCACAGTGGTGTTTCTGTGCAGGCAACCCGGGTTTCAGTCATTTTCTAATCAATCATTTCTTTGCTCTGCTGTCAGTTTGAAGGCAGAACGAGAAATTTGGAGGATGTCTCGTTAAATCTGACTGTGGGGGTGATGTTAACAGAATGGATCTCTTTTCAGTATAGACTGTCTAGACAAGAGTACTTTTTTGACCAGACGGAGAGAGACCCCACTTGCACACAGAGGCTGACAGAGCACCATAAAGCATTGTTAATAACAGGCAAATATATGTTGAACCAGCAATCTATCTATAGTTTATCAAACCATCTTCTAGATTCACAAACACACACCCACTGATCATCTGTCCCTTGCGCCGCCTATCCAATCGTGCAATTCATTGTAAGAAAAAGCAGTGGGTAAATGTCTCATCTCGACAGTATTATTAGCCCGAGTGGGTACCGCTGTGCCGTTTGCCAGACCGCCTCGTTTAAGGGGCGTGGCCTCTTTCAGTCCTCACCAAGAGATGGATGACATCACAAATGATGACTAATGAGGGTGAATAGGTTAGAGTGGAGGAAGAGGAAGTGGGAACAGAAAAGAGAATATGTGATTGATGGGCATAGGACATTCATAACAGTTTGAGTCAGCTTATTAAAGAGACAAAGAGAGTGTTAATGGGCCTGTGATTGACAACAACTGACATGAAAGACGAGAGAGTGTTGGAAACGAGAGTGAAAGGGTATTGTCCTTGAGCAATTGTGTATGTTCAGTAACAGGTTTAATCCTTTGCTTGAATAAAGAGCTTTCAAACTCAGTGACCCCTGTGTGTCATACCTGCACACACTGAACCTTAAGAGTTTAACAGTTCTTTTAAAAACACACTCTTGCCACACGTTCATTGTTCACAGGAAAGATGATGCCGTTTTCTTAAAGCTGTGTTTGGCATTCTTAGTGCCATCTCATAAGGATTATAACCTAAAGTCTTTATGGAATTTTAAAGTGGAGCCCTTATCACACTCCCCTCCACCACTGCAGATCTTCCTCTCGAGAGCTTTGCTTGACACTGTAAAACCCGCAGGGCTGTGACAGCACTTGATGGTGTGCGAGACGATACAATGCATTTTGAACAGGTCCACGTGGTTATCATGCTCTTAGAACTACACTTAGAGTCAAACTTTTAGGCATGCTTGGCAAGGGCAAGTGAGTTGAGGAAGTTGTATTACAAAACTCATTCTAATAGCTTCTCAATAAAATAAAATTACAAAAACTAAAATAACTAAAATTAAAATGGAAACAGAAAATATAAAAATGAAATCTATTTGAAAATATATCAAAAACTATAATAGTATATCAATGTTACTAAAATGAAAGTGCATAAATACTTTTTTAAAACTTTTTTTAAGGTTGCTTCCTTTTAAAATAAGTGGCACTTGGATTGATCTAATGCAAAATTCATGTTGACTGTATGATAGTATTTATGCATGCCTGCAAAAAAATCTACTCTATGTGAAATGCTAACAATTCATATGTAATTTTTCCTTTTGCTTCACTCAGGACGTATTCAGAGAACGACTGCACTACTGTGGTCCCCCTTGAACCGTGTCTCAGTCCCTCAAAAGACCTGGTCTACAGCAAGACCGCCAAACAGTGCCTGGAGGAGATCTCAGGTACAGTAGGACGAGTACTGCCACATGTGCACATGCATACCTACACACAGTCAGACATATGAGAGCGACACAAGCCTAACACATACAAACACACACACACACGCACACACACAGAGAAGCTGAAACACAGGCACAGATTCTCTCTGCAGGCCGCTAGTTCCATGTTGCTATCGCAGCAAGAAAAGGTCAGATATGACAGGTGGACAAAGGCCGGCCTTGTTTGGGAGGCCAGGCTGCAGAATGTGTTGTTTATTTGTGCATGTGTGTATTTCTCTGTGTGTGGGACTGTGATGTGACAGCTGATAGCTGAAGATAGGTGCCTGGGGCTCAGGCGCTGCTCGCACACTTCTCTTAACAACCAGTCGGCAAGCAACTGTAAGAAATAAATGCAAATTGTGCCCAAATGCTGCATTTACCTGCGCTACAGTTTCTGGAATTGGAGGGTGCACTATGACATGCGTTCCTAGTTGTTCATTTCCTGTGTGCATATTTATCAGCACAGCCACTGTCGTTATATCCCTCTGCAAATGCTTTTGGTTTATTTCATTAATTCTGTACGTGATGAGATTTAATCGGTTTGGGATCTGATCATTTTGTGTGTATCCCTGAGGTTCCCTGTTGTTACTTTAATGCATTTTGTTTGTAATTAACAATCTAAAAAAGCTCAAAACAAACTCGACTGGAAAATCGTTCCTCAAATTCTTTAATGAGATATAAATTAGCGCTCCAGCTTGCACAAAAATGCCTGGAATGTCAAATTAAAGTGAATAAACTGCAGACACGAACACATAAGCACAAAGCGGTCAGTGTTTGCACGTCAATGAGAATGCAGCCCTGCTGTGGTCATTTTGAAGGTGAGGGACATTGTTGTTTGCAAGTGGATCTAGAAGCAGCAATAGCATTCTGACTCATGGTCAGACATTTGTTTTATGTGTTGCACTGCTTTTGGAGAGTTTTGGGACAGTTTACGGCTGATGCGAGTTAGGAAAGCATAAAATTGTTATTGTACCCTGAGCTGCTGAAAACAAATGAAGAAAATAAATACAAATTCTAAATGGTACATGTAGATTCAAGATTGTTAGTCTGTCTGAGTTTTTATTAACAATTAATACAGATTAAGCTGTTGCATGTTAGATATAAACATTTAAAAATTCGAGATTGATATGCATAGAAAGTATTAATTGTCCCATAGAAGTAAAAATTACAATTGAATTATTGCTTTATTACCTTAATAGTTTCACCTGTTGTAGACAGCGGTGGGATTAAATGGAAATCAAATGGAGTCTTAAAAAATCTCTGATTTTTCAGATCCAACAACTGCCTTAATTTGTGTTTTAATTTTAGAAGAAACATCTGAGATGATCTTTATTTTAAACAGAAAATATTTCTTTCCTGTGAAATTGGAACATCAGAGAAAAAGCATTTTTCATCTTAGGAAGCATGTCTGCAGGCTTTTCTCTACATCTGTTCATGTTTGAAATGCCGTGGTTTGGCCAGTGATGCGGTCAGGGAAACCCTCACATCTACTACTTATAGATGTTAACCTCAGAACTCACTTCCTGTTGATGTGCACTGTGGGTTCCGCCCGGTTGTAAAATATGCTACACTCGATGCAAGTACAAAAGCAAAATCTCTGCATGCACCTGTTCTGTTTTTAGATGACTGATTGGTTGGTGGTGTTGCTGGTTTATGGCAAAAAAAAAAAAGATAATTATGACATGTATTTGCTGAATTCTCTAGAGTCTGGTTAGGGTAATCTTCTGTGTTGTAACCTATTAGTTCAGTGCTGAGAAAAAGACTGGTTAATTCTGAAATATTAGGCAAGCAATTTGTTAATAGCTTGTCGGGACAGTGAATGAAAAAAAAAAAAAAAAAATTTAAAAATGAAT